ACTGAACCCATCTTTTATTATTAACACAACACCACCTCCTTTCCCTTCTAGTCTGTCCTTCTTAAAAGGTGAATATCACCAAGTGCATGGGAACCATGTAGCCATGTTTCTGGAATGGCAATTGTATCATAACCATTACTTTAATTTGTACCTTTAGATGCTTGTAATTTCACAGCATAGGCAATCAGCTGTGAAGATTCACTGTTCCTTTTTCAACCTCATACGTGATCTACTGCTCTCTCTCTTTCTCCCATTTTAAAGTACCATTGTTTTGATCTCTTTCTTTCAAAGTTCCAAAACAAAGCAAGAGCTTATAAAACAGTAATTACTTCTTCAAGATATCAAGGAAATCAGCTCAGCACTGAAAAAAACTTTAAAGAAAGATCACTCTTACAGCCACAATTTTTTCCCATCCACCATTTAAGATAACTAGGATCCCATGAATCTATTTATCATGTTGTGAATGCTGCATGCATTCAGGTAGAGTTGCTCTTAACTTTTACTTTCTGATGTCATTCTGCATTCAAGGCATATGTGATGCTTGGCTTTGTTCTCCTTTCTTCCATTGCCCTTAGCAGATTTTCTACTTCCTGTTACCAATTTCACTTTCTTCCAATTTGGGTTACCCATCAAGTTCCCATTCCCCTCAATCCCATTTCTACTTTTTGCACCAACTATTCCCTGTGTAAGTGAGGTATGCATCCTTACCACTTTCTGAGAACAAAATTCTTCTCTTGCATTTTCTGTTAGATTTATTAGTGACTGTTTTATGGGCTCCACTTCTGGTCTCGCTCAAAGTTGAAAATATCTTCTCTTCACTTATCCTATAAAATCTATTCATATTTTTTAAGCAACTTCATCAGGTAAATGTTTGGTTTTCTCTTTTCTAAAGAAAAGACCCTCCCCCACCCCAGCCAATTCAGTCTTTCCTGACAGGTGTAATCTCCCCGATCCAGTAACATTCCTGTAAATCTCATTTAGACTTTCTCCAATGCCTTTAAATCTGATGTATGATACGAAAACCCAGAATTGTGGACAATACTCCAGTGTAGTCTAAGTTTAACCTAACTTATCTACTTTCAATTCTATCCTGCTAGAAATAAACCCCAGTGCATAACTATACCAATCGTATTTTGTATGTTCTATTTCTATTGAATAGAGGATTGTTGCACATTTTTATTTTTACTACACAATGAGGAAAAATTATATCTGTTGTCTGTGTAGCTTGCCTTTAAACGAGTTCACTTGTAATGACTCCATGCGGCCTGTGCGTATAATGTCGTGACTCTGCCTGGCAGTTCATCCACAGTGCTTGCAAGCTGCATCTCTAATGTCTGCTTTATAACTGACAACGTATTTTAAAATAAACTAAACCACAGAGTTAATCGATCCACCCATAGAGTTATTCAATTCACCCACATAATCAATCCCTATTAGAACATTATCATTAACATCACCAAATCTTATGAAAAAGGTTACGAGTTCACACTTTTGTTTCAAATTTGATGTTTACAGTTGCCGATTTAAATACATCTTCCTCCTTAGTATTACACGCAGCTTCACGCCAGCCATTGAAATCAAAAACACACCACTGAAAGGAAGAAAACAAGTCGCGTGACTTTTTGAAAGACAGAGAGCAAACAAAGTGGTTACTGGAATGTGACATTGTAGCTCCACTGGAACAACAAATCTGGGGTGCTGTCTCTCTTTGAATAAAAGGCTATGTTAACATGTTACATTCACTCAGCATGTGGAGTCAGGAGTCACATGTAGATTAGCACCCTACAAATAATGGGCTTAATCCAGGTGGAACGATTAATGGGATGCCATTGGTAACTATTGAACATCCCTTTGCATTCCCAGCCCCTTCATATATTCCCAGGCATAGGATGACAAAGGGAAGTCCACAGGTCACATAAGTTCATATGTACAGTCTGGAAGAAAGAACTTGCATTTATTAGCACCATTCATAACTTTGGAACATTCCAAAGTGTTTCACAGCGAATTAATTACTTTCTGAAAACTAGTCACTGTTGTATTATAGGAAAACGTGTCAGCTAATTTTCCAGATTTCACAAATCTAGAACAGGAGCTACAGTGTAAAATTAAAAAATGTCTCCCTTTTAAGATGCAGATAATGAAGAATTTGTACTTAGGCAGATGGCAGTCTTTGAAATTTTCTCCTTTCGGGAGCAGTGGAGAGTGAGTCATTTAATATATTCAAGGTTGAGCCAGACAGATTTGTGATTGACAATGGAGTCGAGGGCTATGGGTTGTGGAATCAGACAGTGAAAGTCATATCAGATCAGTCATAAACCTATTAAAAGGCAGAATGGGGTTGATGGGCAAATGATCTACTCCTGCTTCTACTTCTAATGTTGTTACAATTTTAAATAGCAGTGTGATAAACGACCAGGTAAATTTCTTTTAAGTGACTTTGGTTGCGGGATAATTATTGACAAAATGTATCAGAGAGACCACCTCTGCTCTTCTGCTAAATAAAGCCATGGGATCCTTGATAGCCACCTAAGGTGGCAGACTACATCACTGAGACTATGGTACTCTTTCAGTATTGTGTTGGGAACATTGGCCTGGGTTTTGAGCTCAAGATCTAACCTAGGTGAAATTTCTATTTACTGAATTACTGCATATTTATTGGGAATTTTAACAAAATGGTTGGGTTTTTGGCACAGATTGCCACCTTAACTGTGTAGACTTTCTGGTAGAACTATCCAATGTGCCTCATTCCCTTGCTTTTTCTCTGCATCACTTCGATCATTTTTTCTGATATTTATCTAATTCTCTCTTAAAAGATATTGAATCTGTTTCTGCCATCAAATCACAACACACTGAATGATTTTTTTTTCATTTTTTTCCTCTCATCTTTATGCTAATTCACTTAAATTTGTGTCCCCTGTAAGCTGCTTGTTAGTCCATGTACAGTCTATAGTCTGCAATGTAGTGGCAAGGCAATGTGTCTTAGTCCTGATTCAAACTAGATCCCAAGTCAATTCAGTACAAGTTGCCAACAGAATTAAGCAGCTTTGCATGTTCTTACAGAGTTCCACGAAAACCAATCTGCAGAGTACAGATGATCTGTCAGGGTAGTTGAAGCCTGATATCAATGGGTATTGGTGCATGAGCAGCTCAAGTTAAACTTTCAGTGATTCATTTATGTTGATGTTGCTATGTCATGGCAACTCAGCAATACATAGCAAGCTACCTCTTACAGGGACACAAGCCTTTGAATAATAACATGAGAAAAAATGACAGCTCAGACACTTCCTACAATATTCACAATTGATCTTGATTGAACTACATTCAATGATAAAAAAATTCTGAAGTAGTGTGAAGTCATTTTCTAAAGAGTTGCCATTGGCAAACACAGTCTGGAATAATTTTAGTAAGAACTTTTGAAGTTTCTTTTCCTGACATGAACCAATCATGCCAATTAATGCATTGGTCTGGTTTTCATTGATGCAAAAATTGACATCATGTTTGTTATGTGGCCAATTGCCGACATTTTCACACTGTAAACTCTGAGTCAGCAAAGTGATAAATGACTAATCTGTTCATTTTAGCAATGATAATTGATAGATAAATACTGACCAGGGACAAAGGGGAAAAATTCCCTACTCTTATTTAAGCATGGCCATGAAATCTTTTATGCCCATTGTTGGACAGCTTAGAAACTTACTGCACAGAAAGACACCTCTCATCCTACATTGCTGATGCTAGCTCTTTGAAAGGAGAGCTATGGCCAGTCTCACATCCCGGTAAATTCTTCACAATGACTACCTGTCCAACTTCCTTTTAAAATAATTTACAAAATCAGCTTTCACCACCTTATCAGCTTCAGCCTTCCCGATCCCAACAACTGAGTGAATGAATTTTCCTCAGCTCCCCATCTATGAACCCTTAATTATTGACCTATTCACACTACCAAATTCTACCATCATTCACATGGCCTTGATTAGGTCTCCTTTTAACATTTTCACTTCTAAGGAAAAGATTGCCTTTCTAACATCTCCTCCTCATTATTGAAACTCTTTATCACTGGTAATCTACTAGCAAACCTCTGTACCCTCTTTCTAAGTCAATAACATTTTTCCTGGAATGGACTACCCAGAGATTTCCATGGTCCTTCAGTTGAGCCCTAGGTAGTCAATCCACTTTGCCATAAACGTTGACTACCTTGTCAGTGAAATTTTGTCTAATTCAGGCTTGAATAAATTCCGTGACCCATCCTTCATTGTTCTCTGGAGATTCCATAGACTAACAAAATCCTGAGAGAAGAAATGCCTCCTCATTGCTATCTTAAACAAAAATAATAATGCCTGAGATTGGCGACCAAAGTATGACTTTGATATCCTTTGTGCACTGTGTGAAATTGTAAATTGGGTTACAAGGCGAATAGCCAACAATGTTTTAAGCACTGCACGAAGGAAATCTTCCCCATCTGATTTCAAACAACTCACCTTGCCTTATTTAGTGAAATAGCACCAGCACTTCTCAAGAGAGATTATCAGACAAAATGTGATGCTGAGCCAGGTAAGAACAAATGTACAATAGGAGACCGAAAGCTGAGTCACAGAGGTAGGTTTTAAGAAATTCTAAAGGAGAGGAGAAAGAGGCAGAGACACACAGGGGTAGAATTCCAAAACTTAGGATGTAGGCAGCTGAAGGCACGGCCATCAATTATGGGATGCTCAGAAGGGAATGCATCAGAAATCAGAATTGGAGGCGACAGAGAACTTGGTTATAGAGTTGGAGAAGGTTACCGTGGGAACGGAAGGTGAAGTTGTGGTGGGATTTAAAAACAAGGAGGCTTAATCCAGCAGTTTGTGATTCTTAATGAAACACATTAACTGTAGTTGGCAGCGCAGCATTGATCACAGTGGCTGTGCTCTGTTAAGAGAACGGTTAGTTCTGAACACTTGCATCCTTTGCTACAGTTGTTTTTCAGAAAGTCTAATCTGTCTCCTTTTTGAAGTACTCACTGGTGTTAATCTTCTGCAGGGAAATGTGTTTTTCCAGTTGCCTCCTCAACTTCACTTCTGCTCCATATTTTCCTGTTGTGCCATTATCTGCCAGGATGAAATGTGAATGCATGCTGTTCAGCACGGTCAGCTTGCTCAAGGGGTTGGACATTGTTTGATATGGCCGGACCACCTGTGCGAAGACATATTAACCAACAAAAACAACTTATATTTATTCAATGCCTTTAACATAGCAAAATGTGCCAAGGTGCTATACAATAGCATTATCAAACAAATTTGACCACTGAGTCCATGAGGTGATACTGCTTCAGGTGATCAAAAGCTTGGTTAAAGAGGTAAGTTTGAAAGAACTTCGTAGCACAGAAGAAAATAGCAGAGAGACAGAGGTTTGGAGAAGGAATCCCAGAGTGTAAAGTGTAGACATCTCAAGGCACATCAAACAATGCTGGCATGATTAAAATTAGGGGATGCTCAAGAGGCTGAAATTGGATATTCTTCTGGAGGAGATTACAGAGATAGGCAGGCACAAGACCATGGAAGGATTGAAAAACAAGGATGAGAACTTTAAATTCTAGGCATTGCTACACTGAGAGCCAAATCGGGGTCTATATTGAGATGCCAAAGATAGATGGCTCTCTTTTGTGTCCTGATTTCTAGCTCCTGTTATATTTTTATTTAGATAATGGGCCAAGGCAAACAAAGACTGTTACAACATTTTTAAAGCGAGTGGAAATAAATTGAAATAATTTGCATCAAAGTGGAGAGATATCCTGGACAATATGGTACAATTTTTTAGCAGGTAATAAGTTAGAATAAAGATCAGTGAAAAACTGCATCCATTTAATTTCCCTTATTCCAGCAAAGATGCTGCTGGATACTATTCTACAGCCATTAATAGATAGCCAATACAATTTCAAATGGGGCTTTCAGAACCTGGACTGTGTTAGGGATTACTGTCCAGACAATCAGATAAGAGAATTCTTTCTTCATATCTCAATAGAATTAAGGATTATGTTGTAGCGAGGTGATCTGTGATTTCATGCATGCCAAAATATTTGTAATCTTCCACAAGCAAAAAAGAAAATATTATTTGAAGAAGATAAAGAGGAACAAAAAATACACATATTGAACTTTTGGAAATGTAAGTGTACATACCATTAAAAAAAAGTCGTTACATCTTAAAAGTTAATTTCAATATTGCATTTTGTGATCTTGGGATTAGGATAAAACCTTACTTCAATTTAGCCTTATTTGAGGCAAGAATTTTTGATTGGAAGTGTTCCAACAAGATGCCAAAGTTGGATTTATTTTTTACTGATTTTAAAGCCAAAGTAATATCATTTTCTCTGCAGTACTTCAATTAATTCAGAAGTTTTAAATTTGTTTTGAAATATACCGTAAAACTTATCCAAAACAGCCATTACTCCTGACTAGGCTAAAGTTCTCTTTGTATAGTATTTCATAGTATGAGTTTTTTGTGTTGGAACTGATTTCAGATGGGTTTTAGGGACAATTTTTACGTTATGAAAGGCATTTCCTTCTTGTAACAACTCCAGTTACACTGGTGAGGAGGTAAGAGACAAGATACCCACGTCCTTTCCAATCAGATCCTCTTGATTCTCCACTATTCCCCATGGAGCGATGCCTATAATGCAGATTCTTCCTCTGGACTTTGAAGCATGGTCCTTCAGTGCATCTCCTACATGGCGAATGACCCCTAAAAATGAACCCAAGAAATGTGATTGCAGCACCATTTTAGCTGATTGGAACAACGGAGTCCTCATTTTGATGATTACCTCTTGTACCAATCGCAACAATAACTTGCATTTATTTAGCACCTTTAACACTGCAAAACATCCTAAGGGGCTTTCACAAGGGCTATTTCCACGCAAAGTTCAGATTGAACCAAAGAATTAGGACAGGCAATAAAAGCTTGGTCAAAGTTGACCCTTGAGATCTTGGTATGCAAATATTGGAGTGTCAACATTGGCCATCTTGACACTCGAGACCACTTTCCAAAAATCCATCAGTAATTACTCAGTACATTTTCCATTAGTTCTGTGCAACTCATAGAGTCATAGAGCATGGAAACTAGACCTACCTACCTGCTCCTGGCCCATATCCTTCCAAACCTTTCCTTTTCATGTACTTATCTAAGTGTCTTTTAAACATTGTAGCTGTGCCCACATCCACCACTTCCTGTGTAAAACCCTCTGTGTAAAACATTTGTCCGTTGTGTCATTTTCAAATCTCTCTCCTTAAAAATATGCCCCCTAGTCTTGAAATCCCCCATCCTAGGGAAAAGACACCAGCCATTAACCCTATCTATACCCCTCATGATTTTATGAACCTCTCAACACTCCAGTGGAAAAAAATCTCTCAGCCAATCCAGCTTTTCATTATAAATCAAGCCTTCCACACCTGACAACATCCTGGTAAATCTCTTCTGAATCCCCTCTAGCTTAGTAATATCCTTCCTATAATAGGGCGACCAGAACTGAACACAGTACTCCAGATGAGGCCTCAACAATGTCCTGTACAACCTCAACACGACTTCCCAACTTCTACATTTGTTGGAATTCATTTTCTAGAATTCCATTCTTTCTACATTGTCTGAATTTTTCTGCTTAATCTCTCCTGCCAGAGACAATGTATTAGATCTCAGCTGTAGATATCAACTGTTCTAAATGGCACATTGATTTGTCGCTACTAGTTCCTGAGTTACACTCAGGCAGAAATGACACTGATACTTACGCTATTTTCTGAGCTGACCTTTCCACAGGAACTTATCAGCCTGGACATTTAAAAAAAAGTGAACTAAAAGTAGAATTAAAAAATTGAAGCATCACCCCTCTCCTTTGTTGAAATTCCCCTTTATATAGTGATGATATGCAAATTAAATTCTGAATCAAAGCCTCATTTACACACACTGAGTACAATATGTTTGACAAAAAAAACTAATTTGGAAACTTTTATCTTTCTCATGAAAGAAATCACAATGCCACATCAAAGCTAGAAAATATTCTGTGTGTCTTATTAAGGGTGAAATATAAACTACTGGCTACGCATACCAGAAATAGTGTCAATGGGATATGCTGAGCCTAGAATTTTAGTGTGTAATTGCAGGAAATGGGTGTTTTTTGGTGTTATGCTTGGTGGATGGCAGAGGAATACCTATGTCGATGGAGCAGTCAGGGGTTCAGGAGACATACAGACTCCAAAAATGGTGCAGACATTGCATGAAACTTGTGCCCATCGATTCCTGCGTCCTGATTCCCATTTCTGTGTTTCAGTTGTCACACTTCCACACATTGATCTCTATTTCTATGTGTCAATTGTCAAACTGTACAGTCACTAATCCCTATTCCTGTATGTCAGTTAACATTAAGTACACATACTAATCCCTATTTCTATGTGTCAGTTGCCAGACTGTACACATACTGATCTCTATTCCTGTGTGTTTGTTAACATACAGTATACACAGGCTGACCCCTATTGCAGTGTGTCAGTTAACATTAAGCACAGACACTGATCCCTATTCCTGTTTGTCAGTTGACAGATTGGACATAGTTTGCACCCCTTGCACATGTGCTGATTATTAAATTGAGCCATGCCCCATGTGTGCTCTAGTAATCATATTATACACAAACTCTTTCCTGAACTGAAGTGGAATCAGTGGAAATGACTGAGATGCAGCAGACAGGCCAGGAGTACTGATTGTATAATGATCGAACAGAAGGCTGCAGCTGCTATTGTGCTGTTCTCACTTTGTAGCCCAAACCCGCTGAGGCAGCGATACCTGAAATCACTATCTATGCAGAATCATCAGCTCCACAGGGCTTGTTAGCTTTAAGTTCTATTCATATGCTCATTACTATTTCAATAGTGTTGATGATCAGTTCCTCCTTCCCTTTTAACCCTTGATCTTTTTACTAATCTTTGGATGCTTTTTCAGCCTTCTGTTGTGAAGACAGACATAAATTACTTGTCCCCTAATAATTCTGGGTGTACCTACACCACAAGGACTACCAAAGTTCAGGAAGGCAATTTATCATCATCTTCTCCAGGGCAATTAGAAATTAGAAATGCTGACCCAGCCAGCGATGCCCATATCCCGTTGACAAATAAGTAAAGGAAAGGAACAGCTGCATATGAATAGAGAAAGACAAAAATTGCGGCTAGATAGAGAGCAAAAGCCTAAACCCAAACCAAAAGCAGATATAGAAAATAAAACAGACAGGGTGAACAAAACACATTTTGCTCCAAGTAATCAATTGCACCAGGAAGAAGGATCATGCCAAAGTCATCTGCCACCATATACTTTTCACAAGGGGTTGTCTTAAAACTTATATTGTGGAAATTTTAAACAAAACTCATGGTTAAATACTGAAAGAAAAAAATAAAATTATTCTTTACCTGTGTTCACACCTCCAGTGAATATCCAAGCCCCTGTTGTCATAGCAGCTTTAATTAGACCTTTCCCAAATACTTGCTTGAGTTTGGGTTGGAGTTCAAAGTTTTGGAGGCCTCCATGAATGGAGATCAATAGCTTCGGGAGGTCCAGCTGCCATTCCTTTGTCATTAGATGTAAGAGGAGATCAGGCTTTGTGTCAAATGAAACACGTACGTACTATAACAGAAATGGGAAGAAGAGGAGAAACTAGATACAAGATTGTATCTTTCTCACTGCTGGTTTCTGATTTTACTGAATGTTTATATAGGTACAGAGAATACATTTTCTCAATGTCTAACCCCTCAAACAACTTAAGAATTTTGTTTCAGTGAGTACAATCACTGAACAGTCCCATCATCCCAGGATCGGGTCTAATGAATCTTCATTGCATTCTTTTTACAGCAATTATTTCCTGCCTTTCAGTAAAGAGGCCACAATACAACACAGTATTCCAGGAATGTTATCACCAATGCCCTAAGAACGCACTTCAGCCAATCTGCTAGCAATGCCACATTCTACTTGTGATCTACAATATTAAGAATATCAGAAGTCATGGAGCCAGAAAATAATCGTTTTCCAGGACTACATATAGTCTACATGGGCACTTCAATTTGTTAAGGGTGTCCTGGCTGTTTTCTATTTGGAAGAAAGACAGGCTTGCATTTATACAGCTCCTTTCATAACCCTAGGATGTCCTTCACAGGTGTTCAACTACTGTTGCAGTGGTGTAACAGTGGCTGATTTGCACATCGCAAAAACCCATAAATAGCAGTGTGATAATGGCCAGAAAATCTGATTTTCTGATGGCGATTGAGGGGTAAGCATTTGTCAGAACATTGGAAGAACTTTCCTGCCCTTAACTTGAATGGTGCCATTGAGATCTTGTACATTCACCTGAGAGGGCAGATGGGGATTTTATATAAGAATCTCATCTGAAAGACAGCACCTTCAAAAGTGCTGCACCAGGAGTATCAGCTTACGTTTCACGGTGAAGTCTCTGACGTTCTCAAACTCACCCATTCTGACTGAGAGGTCAGAGTGTGTTGGCCATGAATCCATGGTGGACCTTACTACTACAATCGTTTACATTTGTTAACAATTAACACTTACATTTTGTACATCCTGGGACTGACAACCTCTTAGCAATAACGTATTAGAGTCTTTAGAGATGATTAAAGCTTTGCTTGTTACCATGGCTTTATTGGAGTGCCCTCCTCCCTGGAATTCAATAGTCCCAAAGGCATCTGTTGGACTGAGCTGGGTATGTTTGCTGATGGACCACTTCTCCGAGTGCAAATCATTCTTTGTAATTCTGCTTTCAATACTTTCATTCTGACTGATGGAAATGACTGGAGGCAATCCAACATGTTGACCCATGAGTCGACCACAACAACACCTGCCATCACAGAAACAAATATGTTTTAGATTTCCTTTCATTCAAACAAAAGAAAAATTTGACTAGGTTCCATCTTAAAGGCTCTGATGTATATTTCTAAGAGTCCATACAATCCTTTATAGAGGTCAGGAAGGGAAGGATTTACCTTTGCCCTCCCACCACAGATCAAATGTCAGACTGTGAGCTCTCTGTGCTCAGGTCTTTATGTCCCCAACAAGCCCTCCCTGTCATCGTGCCTTCCAGCTACAGCCATGTGCCTCGTGGTGTGGGCAGCTGATTGGCTTCCTACACCCTCCCCAAGACAGTGACTTGTTCTGATTTGGAATGCATTGCCTCAAGTGGCGATGGAAGCAGTCTCAATAGTGAATGGACTTCAATAAAAAGGAAGCAGACAAACGCTTGAAAAGGAAACTTTTGCAGGGCTGTGGAGAAAGAACAGGGGAGTTAACTTAATTGGATTGTACTTTGAAAGGGCTGGCATAGGCGCGATGAGCCGAATGGCCTCTTGTTGTACTGTATGATTTTGATTCTGACCTTTTTCACCGTGGTCTCAATGCCCCATTGTCAGCATTAACCCCAGGATGAGAAGTGCTGTGGTGCAGGAGTGGAAACTGACAGATTTCAATTTGCTGATTAGGAATTCTGCTGGGAATCCACCACGGATTACTCATCTAGAGGAATGGTGTGGGGTTAGGGTCCAAGACTGACCTGGCTTTACCCTGTGGAGGCAGGAGAAGGTAACTGCAGCTCCCCCAGGTATCACAATGGAAAGAATATAGCAGATCTCAATCTGACCTTCACTGGATGGCAACATACAGTCAAAGGAGTTCGCCTCAGGAGAATGTTCAGACCAGTTTTACAACAACAAACTCAACAACTTGCATTTATATAGCGCACTTAATGTGGTAAAAATGTTTCAAGATGCTTCATAGAAGAGTTATGAAAAGAAAATCAGCTCTGAGCCACATACAGAAGGTGTTAGGAGAGGTGAAAAGAAATAGGTTTTATGGGGCATCCACAAAAGTGGAGACAGAAACGCTGAGAGATTTAGGAAGGAAATTCCAGAACTTAAGGTGAAGGCAGCAGAAAGCACTGCCAAGGATGTGCTATGATGGAAATCAGGAAAGGGTGAGAGGCCAGAATTGGAGGGTCACAGGGATCTCAACAAGTTGTGAGGGTGGAGGAGTTACTAAGATAGGGAGGAGGCCAGGGAGGATACAAACACAGGTTTGAGAATTATAAAATTCACTCAATGCTTTTTCTGTGCTCTCAATATTAATCAACAATTGAAATCTGTGGTCTTTACAATAATACAGAGGACTTTTCCAGTAAGTATGTAGGAAGTTCTCCAATATGAGGTGCTTTAACAATTAAAAACAAGTTCAAATTATTTATTGTCACCATTCTTTTCTCGACAGCAGATTGTATTCAATAAACTTTATCAACAAATCTATTACCTATGGTGGTCTTTGGTGCTCGGTATTATGTGGACACATTCTCTTTTGCAAAATGCTCTCTCTATCCATGATTTCTGAGCCTGAAAATCATAGGAAGAACAATATTTTAGTTCAATTGTCTACAGAAGTGCAACATAAAGTAAAAACTGACACAATTCATTGAGATGTAAAAACATCCAAGATTGAACAGTAATGACAGAAGCAAATGGAAGAAACGGTGTCTGCAAAAAGATAACTTTTTGGGTTTCTCTCCAAAGCAAATGACTTGTTTTTAAGTTTCACATGCACTTGCAGAATGCGTTGTAAAGTGGGAACAAACGGGAATCTAGCGAAAGAGTCGCTACTCAGTTGTGTTGGTTTTTTTCTGTCTTGATTTGTTTGCATGTGAATTGTGGAATTTTTAATACAATTTACATTTGAGGGCTCTTGTGATGCTGTCGTAGTGTCACTACCTCTGAGCCAGAAGGACCAGGTTCAAATCCTACCTGCTGCAAAGATGTGCAATAACATTGTTGAACAGTTCGTCAGAAAATATCTGCAACTTACATTTAACTTCTAAACGTTAATTGTTGTTTCCATGGTATGTCGAGTTAGTTTTAAAAGCATTGCACTAGAGGCAGACACCACACAAAATTGGCCAGGATGAACTAATTACCTCAGTGAGTTTCCATTAATTGTACCTATTTGCTGGTCTCTGATGAGGCTTCAAAATTAAGTTGGTACTTTGGGATGGAAGAACCGTAATAAACATCTTTCAAAAACTTTGATTACATCAAAAAAAAACTACTAAGGAATTGAGAAGAATTGAATAAGGAATTTACTCCAATTTAACCAGCAAAAGCTTCTGAATATTTAAAACAAACTTAATTAACAAAAATCAAATTACTCACAGCTGCTGGGTTGACACCAATTTAAATTTCTACTTTTTTGTGATGTACTGATTTTCAGCCTAATTAACCACGTTATCACTCTTGAAAACATCAAGGAATGTTTTCTAGGACAAATTTTGAGAACCAACCTTTCAACATGCTGGTGGATTACACCAGCAACTTTAACCTTGGAAGGTGGGTGAATGAGTTTCAGCAAATTCTTGGGAGATAGTTTTAAAACAGGAGTAATTTCAAATGCTACATAAGCTCTAATTGCAAACTATTCCAAAGAGGAATCTCTACCCCTCCACTTTTTAAGGCGTGAGAAGTATACGCAATGTTTCAAAGAGCATAACACACTAGATTTTGGATAACAAAATAAAAGTTGGGGTTTGAGTAATCTCTTCACTTAGAGTGACAAGCTTTATGTATCCATATGTTATGTTAATTTGCATCCAAATTTAACTGTGAAATGTTAAAAATATTGTTAATATGACAAATACAAAATTTAAATATCACTGGATTCCAGACTTTCATGAGACACAGAACATAAATTGGCAAAAACAAAATAACAAATGAAAAAATATTATTAGTTGTCAAAAAGGCTTGATGATGTTTTTCTTTCCTTTAATCTTTCATGGGATGGCAAGAACAGCATTTGATACCGACCCCTAACTGCCCTTGAACTGAATGGCTTTCCAGGTCATTTCAGAAGGCAGTTAAGAGACAAGCACACTGCTGTGCTTCTGGAGTCAGAGAAAGGCCAGTCCACGTAGGAATAGTTGGTTTCCTTGGGTAAAGGACATAATGAACCAGATGTTAACAACAATTGTCATGGTCACCATTGCTGAAACTAGCCTTATAAATTGAATTTGAATTCCACCAGCTACCATGGTGGGATTCGAACCCCAGTCCCGAGTACATTCGCCTCTGGATTATTGGCCCAGTAAGTAATGATAATAAGGTGGTGACTACTCCAGATGGCCCGTTTGCAAGTTCTAGACTTGGGAGTAAGTTAAATCTACATGTACATGCTTGCTTTAACTTTTTAAAATTTCTATTGGGACATGAGTGTTGCTGAGCAGGGAAAGAATTTATTGCCATCACTAATTGTCCTTAGGAAGGTAGTAGTGAGCTGCCTTCTTCTACTGCTGCAGTCTATATGGGATGGTAAATCCAGAGTACTGTTAGGGTGGGAATTCTAGGATTCTGACAGTAAAAGAATGGCTGTGTAGTACCAAGTCAGGTTGGTGTGTAACTTACATGGGAACCTTCAGGTGGCGATTTTCCCTGCATCCCTGTTCTTCTGGGTGGTACAGGTTGTAGATTTGGAAGGTGCTGTCAAAGGAGATTTGGTGAGTTGCTGCAACATGTCTTGCAGATGGTACACACTGCTCTGGTGGTAGATGGAGTGAACATTTAAGATGATGTACAGGGTGCCAAGAGGAGCAACCTGTTTTGGATGGTGTTGAGCTTCAAGTGTTCCATTACTCTACTGACTTGTTCCTTGTAAATAGTGTGCAGGCTTTGAGACATCAAAAGGTGAGCTCTGTGTTGCAGAATTCCTAGCCCACTGACCTGCTCTTATATGTTCACTAAATGAGAGCTTCATATTTGTGCTGTGATCTGTGTGGTCTATGTTGTAAGTGTGATCAATTGGTTAACACACACAAAATAATTGTTGTTGACTTCACTATTGTCATTCCCACAAAAACTTCCATAAAAGACTAAACAAGACTTTAGGAACAACATAGAAACCACTCCATTCAGAGTATTGGTGGTATTTGCATCCTATTATTACCAATGGGAAGTACACCACAGGAATATTATGAACAAATGTTATTAGAAACTGCAACAATAGACTGGCATCCAACAAATCCTTAATTAAATCCAGGTTTGTATTATTTCCTTGTTGATTCCCATGTTACTGGTGTGTGATATTAGAATCCTTGTGGAGAGTAAAATAATATGGACATTTTATTTTTTAATAAAGGAATGACCTTTTACCGGATTTTTCATCTCACTTTCAGAAAGACTTTGCATTACCCATTTGGCAGTATGCCCTGCACCATAAGTAACATTGGAGTATTAGTCAGTAACTACAAATTCTGCAAACTGCCATTCCTTACTTAGCCTTAATACTGCAATATGCCGACACAGGAGAAAGGTTGCAATATCAGATAGTGTAACCCTTCCTTACCTCTCCGCATTCCTTGATTATCCCTTCTAGTTTGTTCGTTATAAATGCTGACCTTAGTTCTTCAACTATAAGCAAGACTTGAACAGTAAACGAACTGAACTTGATCAACTTGTATTGATCCTATAAATGTTAAGTTCTCATTTTATTCAAGATAGCTACTTGGGACTAAGATGAGAAGAAATCTCTCCTTGCAGAGGATTGTCATCTTTTGGGATTCTCTACAGAGCAAGCTGTAGATTTGTAGCCAACAGCTGTCCAGTATTTTGTTACAAGGTTAAAGGATTCATGACCCCTAACAAATTGAAGGTTATGGGGATAGTGCAGGAAAGCGGGATTGTTCTAAATATCAGCCACGATCTTCTAGAATGATGGAACAGGCTGGAGGGGGTGTATGGCCTATTCCTGCTCCTATTTCCCATGTTCTTATGTTCCATTGCTTTCAGTTGTTTAACCCCTTTGTTGCTACTGACATGAGACTGTCCTCTTGTCATTACAGCAAAAGCAACTAAACTGCTCAGACTCTGCTCCCCAAGACAAGTCTTGGGTGACCTGATGGAGACAATATAACTGAGAGAAAATGCTTCCACCTGTTGGGGGGAGGGGGAGTTCACTACTGAGGGTCACAACCAATAAGTTTGGAAAGCAACTCAGGAGAAATCCCCTTACCCAGAGGGTGGTGAGAATGTGGAACTTGTTACCACAAGAAGTGGTTGAGGTAAACAACATAGATGAGGAAAAGTGGAGCTTGAACAAGTGCAGAATTTTGTTGGTGTTATAGCTTCAGCCAAACCCCAGGGAAAGCTGGACAAGCATGAGAGAGATAAAGTAATAGAAGGATATGCAGGTAGGGTGAGATATAATAGGGTGGTGGAACTTATCATCTCTCTCCATCGATATCTCCTATCCCTTTCTGTCTCAGTTTATCCAGCTTCCTCTCAAATGCATCCATGTTATTCTCATCAACCAATCCCTACAGAATGAGTTCCAATTCTCACCACTCAGATGCAGAGTAGCATTGACAGAAACTAGGGGTCAGATTGGCATCCAGCTACCCTGCCTGGGGATGACAGATTAGGTAAAGTCATCTGTTTCAGTGCAGAAAAGCTCAAAAAGAAAATCATAGAAAGAAACACAAAAACTCATCATAAGACGATTAGTTGGTTAAAAAGAAAAACAAAAATCTTTAATTGCTGCAGTGTCTTTCACAACTTCACGATGCCACAAAGTGCTTTCTGATCATTGAATATGATTTGCTGGCAATGTAGTCACTATTATAATGGTGGCAAAATCTCTCAGTCGATTTGGACTGCAGGACAATCAGCAAGATCCCACAAACAGTAATGAGCAGAAATGACCTTTTCACCTCCCACCTGCAGATGGTCACCAGAGATTGGTTACTTGCCCATTTCTCATGGGACCATTAAGGACATCATTAACTCCATTATAATCAGGGAATCAAAGCTCATTGTCAAAGCTGAACTCACCCATGGAAAGATTGTTTTCAAAACAGTTCACATTGAGCTGACATTCCCCTTTTCTGCCCTTGATTTAAATGTCATTGATTTGTTTTACACTGCTTAGAACTCCTCATTATTCAAGACTATTCTGAATTCATCTTGTCAGAAGCATGTAATTTGCTTCAATTTTAATGAGATGGGTGAAAATAATGCAAACTTGAAACATTGCCTTTACTCCATCATTGAGTGTCTCTGGGCTTAAAAGTGAGATGAAGAAAACTGCTCGCATCAGACATATATTCAAATATTAATAAAATATTAATAAATGAGTGGGATGAGATAGGAAACCTGTGATCTTTTGTAAGTCAGTGACACAGTTTAGAAGATTGTTCTGTAGCAAAGAAAACTACTTTTGAAGTGAAGCTTTTGGAATATATTAATGAACTATAAAAGAAATCCTTCACATTGTCTTCATGACTTGAAGCTATAATGTGACACTGAAAGCGATGCAATGGGAAGGCACATTCTAGAACCTGTTCTAGAGTCCAGTGTGC